TAATAATAAAAAACAATAGTAATAGCTGGTCCGTCAATGTCTGACGATGACCAATGTGCATTCGCATAGAGGAGAATATTAAAATTTTTCTCCTCCGAAAACAGAACAATTTGAAGAAGTTAAAAGTAAAGGTGACTTTTGGCTTCTGCTGTGGCCGATGAGAACAATTCTGGCAGAAAAAAGTTTGCCACATTTTGAAAACATTTAAACGCCCCACTTCAGATTGCGGGCTTCTTTCTTTGTTTCAACATTTCCATACTTGTGAAGCCTCATAATTATGATTTGCTGCCCACTGTGACTGCTGCTCTCCAGCTGGATATGTCAGGAGCCAGACTCTCCCATGTCGAAGTATATATTATTTATATAAGTTTAACTACACTCCTTGCAACACTGTAAAGCTGTTTAAGAAGCGGGACTTCCGAATGTAATGTCCGTCTCCGATAGGACCCAGCCTAATACTAATATAAAAATTCATATAAAGTAACTTTCCCGAGGGCACAATGTCGGGCTGAGCCGAGCCCCGAACCCCCGATCTCCCAATGCCCCGAACCCCCGATCTCCCAATGCCCCCCACTAGAATAGGAAAGCGGTTAATCTTTACTTGACATATATCTATTTTTGCTTGTTTTTGTTTTTGTTGTTGCTGTTGCTGTTGCTGTTGTTTTTTTTTTTTGGTCATTCGTAGAAAACCTGAGATTTTTAAAAGTCGATCATCTTAGTCTTTCTTCTGCTGGGCTGGGATTTTGTATCCCTCTATGGTTAACTACCTCTGATAGGCAGGGCTGAAATCTGCCTCCTGATTAATGATCTAAATTGTGTCGATTGGAATGTAAAACACCTACGACGAAAAAGACAAACAACTAAACAAATAAACAAACCAAGAACAAACTCATCCTATTTTAATTACAGCGCCTTTGAGCTGTGTGTACACGTGAGTAGGCGCGATAAAATAATCTACTTGAAAATTAATTTTCGTTCTTACTTAACTATCTTTCTACCCCCCCCCCACCCACACATCCACCCCCCCCCCCCCCCCGGGTTAAACCGGGGGGGGGGGGGGAAGGAAAAAGCCGAGAGCTACAAGGGGAGGTAATGAACCATCTGCTCGTCAGCCTGGGCTCGTATGCCTGCAGCGTTGGGGACCTCAGCGAGGTGCTCATTTCCCTCTATGAGAATACAGAGACCAGATTCCTCAGGTGGGCTAACTGTACCGCCCCTGCTTGTGCTGCCATCGTTTAGAACCCCCCCACCCCACCCCACCCCAAAAAACAGTATAATATGCAGATTTAATATTTTTACAGGGAACCCCAAAGAAGTTATATATATATAGTACCAAAGATTCTCTACTTTGTTAGTGGGATGATAGTAGAGAATCTTTGAAAGTACTACGTGTAGGCTATTTATAACCTCTTTGGGAGAGCCAAAAACCTGGATGGTCTTACAAATAAAACAACATTTGCTTTAGATAAAGATAATAAGAAAGTTTTTATCAAAATGTTATTCTTAAAAGTATTGTTTTTGTGATGTTTGCAAAGAGTTTGTTTTTTTGTTACAATATTCAGTTGTTTTGTTTTGTTTTTTACCTTCTGTAAAATAATGAAAACTGCATATACTGTTTTTTAAGAAAAATGACGGCAGTGTCAGTGTGGCTGTGCATGATGGATAACATTGATAACATGCACGTCTTAGGGAACACACATATTTTATCTTGCAGGGAATTTGGAGAATGATGAACGACTTTGTCTGCCCTACTTATCAGACTTCTGAGTTTGTTTTGTAAATTGAGATATGGAGTGTTGGTAGGAGTGTGGGGGAAATGCTCTCCTTCATCAGATTATCTTTGTTTTATCAATTATGCTTCCTTTTTCTCTCTCTTTCTTTCTCTGTTTGTCTCTATCTCTGTCTGTCTGTCTGTCTGTCTGTCTGTCTGTCTGTCTGTCTGTCTGTCTGTCTGTCTGTGTGTCTGTCTGTCTGTGTGTCTGTCTGTCTGTGTGTCTGTGTGTCTGTGTGTCTGTGTGTCTGTCTGTCTGTCTGTCTGTCTGTCTGTCTGTCTCTTTCTCTCTCTCTCTCTCTCTCTCTCTCTCTCTCTCTCTCTCTCTCTCTCTCCTGTTAAACACACACACACACACACACACGTCAAACACACACACAAACACACCTACACACATACAGAGTGAGAGAATCAGAAGCACCCATATAAACAGACCAACACACAGATGCATACACACACACATACACACACACACACACACACACACACACACACACACACACACACACACACACTCAAACACTCAAGCACACATGCATACACTCTTAAACATACTGGATAAAGCTTACAATGTGAAATTGATGTGTTTACTTTAGCCTCATAACTTTTCAGCACTGGAGTCCGTAGTTGAATGATGCACAGATAGCGGGAATGACTAATGCCTCTCTGCTTATGATAATGTTTTTGCTTTTCATTTGGGTAGAGAGTGTGTGGGGGAGTGGGTTGGCGTCACTTGAAGTTCTTAACAATAATCACTTGGATAGAAAATAGAGTTTCTCCTCATTTTGGGTACTTTCCCCTTTTCTGAAATGAAAATGACTAATTTTGCTCGAATAAGGGGGAGAAGACTTAAAGAACAGAAAGTCGAAAGTGAAAAAGTTTAAGTTTTCATTTTACATTTTATATGTTTGTTACATAACTAAATTCTTGCTCTGACATCTTTGAAATGGCAGTCTTGTAGTTTTGTGTCCGGAAAGATGAAAATGAATATTAAAACAGCAATTATTTGTCAGTAATTAGAGCTTGTTTTTATGTTGACATATAATGTTGCTTTTGAATTGAAAACGTGGTAGCTGACAAAACCATGCTTTGCAAATTAGATAGAAAAGTTTTAAACCATATTTACTTCTTTTAATATTGTCAAATCTCACGTTTTTTAAATGGTTGAACATAAAGATATCGATACCAAACTAAGATAGATAGAAGTGACATTTTCACTTCAAGTCGACCTTAGGTTAAATTTGTCCCAGATTTGCACATACTAGGTTCTTTCTATTTAAACAACAGAATGTATTTTAATGGGATAGAGGCATTATGCTCAACCGAAGATGGGATCTTGGGTCCCAAAACTTTACACGCTTAAAATATGTTGTGTAGCTCCAGAATTTCTGAAAAAGTGATCTTTTTTCCAGGTCTAATTTAAAGGTTATGTAGAAATAGAGAGACACGCACAGTGCATGTGTTAGACTTAGTGTTGCAATCATAATACATATTTCATCAGTACATTTGATGAAAGTACAGCCTCTTGAATTTTTGTTATTTATCAAAAATTTTGATTGTCATGTCATGTTTTTCTTTAGAATTTTCAGTTGGCATGTATCAGTCACAGACTTGGTCTCTGAGTGATTTATTACGTAGATGTGCAAAGGATCCCGAAGTATTCTGAAACTTTAAAGTGTTAATCTGAAGAAAGAAAAAACAGTCACTGCTTTTTTTAATATGTGATGACACAGTGGAATCAGGCGCTCGTCGATCTTGGGGCACATTGAGTTATTGTTATCATTTTAAAGCTTGTTCATTTGTCTTGCTTTGAATGAAAAAAATTACCCATCTGTCTTCTAAAGAAGTGGAGATATTTGTGATTGAAGGAGGCAGGGGACGCCAAAGTTTGGTGACTTTCAAAGCTGTCTAGTCCTTAAATTCGAAGCTGTAAATTGACACATTGTGCCTTTAATCAACATTTTTCAGTAAAACCCATACAGCAATGTATTTTTTTAATGGACATTAAAAGTGTTGAGCCCAAAAAACAAAAATTTGATAAAAAATTTCTGATGCTGGTGTCTTCAATTTCATTATTTTGACAAGCGCCTGATTTCACCACGATGATTCACAAATGCAGAAATTGTTTTACGGAAACAACTCCTCCCCCCCGCTTTACTTGGCATGTGTGATTGTTTCCTAGCATTGGAAACAAACAAAACTTAAAAATTTTTTGGGGGGATTTCAGCAAATGAAAATTGCAGTGGTTTCAGAGCACTTCGTATCTTTAAAAAAAAAGTGCCTTTGAATGATTAGCCTCACGCCCTCACCCCCGTCCCCATTTCACCCGTGTGCTCGTTTGCTTGACTTGCAGTGAGAAGTTTGTGATGCATTTTGATCGAGAAGGAAACCGCCTGGAGGGTGATAAGAACTCTTGCGGCCTCTTCACAGTGAGTGACTTTGTGCCTGCTGACGTCAGTCTTCCATCCTCTACTTTTATCTGTCCTTCCAGTGCTCAAAGGAAAACTAGTCTTCCGTCCAGTATTCAAATGGAAACTAGTCTTTCATCGAGTACTCAAATGGAAACTAGTCTTTCATCCAGTATTCAAATGGAAACTAGTCTTTCATCCAGTACTCAAAGGGAAACTAGTCTTTCATCCAGTACTCAAAGGAAAACTAGTCTTCTTTCCAATACACAGGGACCAGTACCTAGGGGAAAATAGTATTGTCTTCTATCTAGCACGCAAGTGCCAGGAAAAGTGGGGGGAGGGGGGATAGTCTTTCATCCAGTAAGGGGGAGGGGAGTATATAATAATACAGTCTTTCATCTATTATGTAGGGAGGGGGGAGTGGTCTTTCATCTATTATGTAGGGAGGGGGGAGTGGTCTTTCATCTAGTACAAAAGGGAGGGGGGGGGGGGGGGGGCGGGAGGAATATTCTTTCTTTTGTTATGGGGGGGGGGGGGCGGATAGTCTTTCATCCAGTATGGACGTGGGGGGGGGGGGGTGGAGTCTTTCATCCAGTGTGGGGACAAGGATGGGGTTGGGGAAGATAGCCTTCCGTCCAATATGGAGGGGGATGTTTTCCGTCCATTTACTCAGGGGTAAAATAGTCCTACACACTGCTCATTGAGTTGAGGAATAAGAGTTTTCCACACTAAACCCAGAAGGAAAAGTGGTCCATACTCCATTCCACTTTGGGGGAAATTAGCTTTACATACTTATGTTTGAGGGAAAATAAATTTACAGATTCCTCATTGATGTCTTTCCAACTCTTCAACTAGAGAGTGAAGGTAGGTATTTATGAGGAAACCACACTTTTTGAGAATTGTGAATGCTGAAATTCAGTTATAGGAAAAAAAATTGCATGGTGGGAATAGATATTTTAAAATTAAATTCATAGTGGACATTTAAGGAACTGACCCATTTTTGAGAAAGACGTTCATTCTCCACTTCATCCTATACATTCCATTTTGAAAAGTTACAACAAAAGATAAACAGTCTTCTTATATACGCTTTGAGGTGTACAAAGAAACCACATACTTACATTTAATTGAAAAGTAACAAAGAAACCACATTCATATTTCTCATTGAAAAGTAACAGCTTTTACAGAGAACTGACAGTTTTCATTCTCCGCTTTGAGAAGTAAGGAAAGAAACAATACTAGCATCTATGGTGCAGCAGTTAAGTACTTTGCCATCGCATGCAGAAGATTTGAGTTCGGTTCTTGTACGGGTAGAATTTTTATTGTGTGTCTCTCTCCGTCTATCTGCTGGGATGTTGTATACCTCTCAGTCTGGGCTGGCTCAGACTTGCAAGATCATAGCAGCCTGTCTCCTAAATGGTAATATCTGTGTTGTTGGGGGTGTAAAACATCTGCAATTAGAACCTTTAATATTACTTTTTTGGGTCAATCTTCACATTCTTTATTGAGAAGTGACCAAAGAAAGAAACAATCTACTTACTCTGCTTGAAAAGTAACGATCAGTTAGTTATGCATGGAAAATGATGTCCTGCGTGTATGTGTGTGCTGTTGGATTTATATTCTAATTTTTCAATCCATTTTTCTTTAATTTGCATGTTGGACTTGTGGATTTGTAGAAATTAATTTAATGTCGGTGGCCCCTTAGCTCAACAAGCATCATGCTGGGCTGTGATGTGGATAGTCGTAGTTTGAATCCTCATAAGTGTGTTTAAACTTGACAGGCAGGGTTGAAGCTTGCTTCCTAAAGTTTGTAAGTGTGTTGATTGGGGCATAAAAACTCCCAACTTCGAAAAAGAAAGAATAGAATAGTATTACCTAATCTATGGGGTCGTCAGCATGTTACGATAGCCTGGTTCAGAAGTAGTGGACCAAAATCAAACTAACCCATATAGGTAGGTCCTCTTTACCATGCACATATTTTGCAAATGAAATTTCAAGAAATGAAAAAAAAAAATTTTTGTTGCCTGTGGATGAAAAATAAGAGAAAAACCCTGATGTTACTAAGTTTTTTTTCCTGATTTTCTGAAAACGATCAGAAGTGACTTATATTATGCTATTATCACAGTATGTTGAAAATGGTGCTGGCAAATCGAAGCGGCCGGCCATTTCCATCTCGTTTGCCATTGTTCAATCAGAAATAGATTTTTGACAAGAAAAAGCCATTTAAATCAACCACAAATGGATATGTTTGTCTTTATCCTTTTGGCTCAAGGATACCTGCTGTCAGTGTGAACATACAATCAAACTTTGTCTAACGGTTACCTGTATAAGACAATTGCCTGCTCAAACGGCCGTTTCCCATTTTCTCTCTTGCATATTTTTTAACTTTAAAACGACACTTTGTAAGATGTCCACTTTTCTTCTTGACAATGGTAGGGTTGTCTTATACAATACCAGCTGTAGTTACCTAGCTCCACTTTAGCTAGAAAATGAGAATTCAGAGTTGAAATTAATTTTGGAACTGGAAGGGTTTTATCCTTGTATTGAATGTAAAAGGTCGTAGAAAATTATCTCATAAAGGTATCAAAGACCTTTCTTTGATATTTCAGATATTCACCTAAAAGTGTCTCTAATTTTGGACTTTGAGATTTTTATTTGTAAGAGCTGTTAATTGCTCTAGTTAAACTATTCTTTTATTATCAAGTTCAAGATAATCCAGACCTTGTCCAACTCTTTAAAAGCAAGTCCTTTAACCTTATCTTAGTTCTATGAATGACTTTTTACCAAAAAGGTTTAAGTGGTTGATGTGTTTTTGTTTATTTGAGTCTGAACTATTTGTGTACAATGCGTAAGGGTGTGGCTGTGATAAATGCCGTTGGATGAATACCAATAGACAAACAGTTTTTTCTGGTGTATTTCTTTGATGTGAGGTTTGGAACAGAACAGATGGTTACTCTTCATTATGAAAAACTGACTATCCTATAGGATTATGCTTCCTTGTACTTCCCCAAGGAGTATCCCCTGTCCACTGCCTTCTTCAGTGATGTCCTTCTCCGACGTTTTGTGAGGGTGGTTGGCGGGTGCTCTGATGTGGTTTGCTTCTTCTTTCCTATCAAACATCTGTTGTCCTTATCTCCCCTCTTTCTATTTTGTGTTGTTACTCTCTAGTAACACCTAACCTTCGGATGCTGTTGGACGAATACCAACTGACAACAACAAACAAAAAGCAGATTTCTTGCAGTAAATTGCACTTCAAAAGCAGTGGAAGTAAACAACAACAGTATGATTTAGATGAATAGTTCATTTCACTGCTCTGTTATTTTTTTTCCTCTTATGACAATGGGGGTCTGTAATGTTGCGGTTAGGTGCTTCACTGCCACACACAGGGGACCCCAGTTTGATTTCCATGTGGGGAGGAAATTTTTATTGAGTATCTGGTCTTCCGCTGTGATGTATCCATCTCAGCCTGGGTTGGCCCTAACAGGCAGGGTCGGATGCTGGCCTCGTAAATGATCTAAATTATGTATGTGGGGGGCGTAAGAAGCAACTACATAAAAAAAAACAACCCCATCCCCTTTGGCATTTTGTCACACCATGTTTAGCGTGGCTGCACCCAAATGCTGAGTGTCCGTCTTTCCAATTTTTCTTCATTGACTCGACTTTGTCACCAGGATTTGAGTGCAGAGGACACACAAAGAGATCTCTACCTCGTTCTTCAGATCTTTCGGAAGGGTGAGTAATGAATTGCTTTGCACTGGCATCTGCCGTGTTATAATTAGGTTCTTCACTGTTTCTCACTCAAAGATTATAAGTTTGATTCCTGAGTAGGGGAGTTGTTTTTATGTAGTGCCTTTGTCTGTCTGCTGGGATGCTGTATCCCACTCGGTCTGGGTTGGCGTGATCAAAGCAACCTTCTTCCTGAATGGTGTAAAATGTTCAGAAGTGGCGTAAGACAATTCCTTTAACCGTACCTTAGTTCTATGAGTGACTTTTTACCAAAAAGGTTTAAGTGGTTGATGTGTTTTTGTTTATTTGAGTCTGAACTGTTTGTGTACAATGCGTAAGGGTGTGGCTGTGATAAATGCCGTTGGATGAATACCAATAGACAAACAGTTTTTTCTGGTGTATTTCTTTGATGTGAGGTTTGGAACAGAACAGATGGTTACTCTTCATTATGAAAAACTGACTATCCTATTGGATTATGCTTCCTTGTACTTCCCCAAGGAGTATATCCTGTCCACTGCCTTCTTCAATGATGTCCTTCTCCGACGTTTTGTGAGAGTGGTTGGCGGGTGCTCTGATGTGGTTTGCTTCTTCTTTCCTATCAAACATCTGTTGTCCTTATCTCCCCTCCTTCTATTTTGTGTTGTTACTCTCTAGTAACACCTCTAATCTTCGGCACTTTTATGATCTTATTGTGTTGCAAGTGCCATAAAACACTTACTGAAACTAAAAAGGCGTTTTGTTATTAAAAAAAATTTTTGGTTCACATTTTTTCCCTCTTGAAATGTCTTCTCTGAGCTGATTTGGTTGGAGGGAACCACTGGTAATCCTACTTCTTTTCTTCCTCTCTGTTGTTTCTGTCAATTGATCTGACATTTCCAAGCACTAAATGACAGTTCCCATGTACTTCTCTATACTCAAACAAACAAATCAGCTGATTTAGCTCTTCCGTACATCGTGGACATTTTGATGTCCTGTGAGTTGGGTATCTTAAGGTAAAAGATAAGTAACTTTTTTTTTTCATTTAATAGCATCAATGTGACATACATTTTTTTGTTACCTCAAGTCTATTTTGTTTGTAAGTCTATATGTTTTTCATTCAAAAACAGAAATGACTTTAACTGACAGTTGAATGAATCAAGAATGAAAAGATTCAATCTTGCTTAAACTACAAAGCACTCTAGAACTTGAGGCTGTGATACAAATGCCCTTTCACACTTGGTTTTAAGTTTCATAGATGGTAAAAGAAATTTCTTTTTGTCTGATGTTGATAAGAATATAAAATGAGTTGCTTCTCGCAATCCATAAATGGAAATATCTGCCAAATATCACCACAGGGATCAATTAGAAGATTTTCAACTGATGCTATTTTCATCCAATTCAACCTGTCTTTTATAATATTTTGTACTAATAAATTGTACAAAATCAACTTTTGAATTTGAAGAATCTCTTCCTATGAGCTAAAATCCAGGAAGTAACTCATTTTGTCAGCATGCTTCACCGTTGGTTTTAATTTCCTTCCCAGGTCGTTTAAAGGATGGAGGAAGTGTGAGGAGGCTCAAGCAGAGTTTGAAATATCGCAGGCCGTGGGGAATTTCAGGTGATGTGAAAGTTCCCTAAATAAGTTACTTTAGCCAGACGGGTTGTTGCTGTTCGTATCATTAGTCTTTCAGCGAATTTGTACTTTTTTGTTCCTAAGGATAACTGCAGGCTTTTTGGTGAGGTAATTTTGAATGTTGTTTTTTTTTCCTTTTGTAAATGCTAGGGTTGTGTGAGTGGTGAGTACTCGCTGTTTTTCCTCCCAGTAAGGGCTCTTAGCAGAAACAAAGATTTCGCAAATTTCACCAATTTTTGTTTATTGCTACACTGTGTTTTTTTTTTCTTTTTGTCCATTTATTTTCTTTGTGCACTGTTAAAATATTCTCAGAAATTTAAATGTTTTTGTTCGTTGCAATTACCATAATTAATATTTTTCTATTCCTTCTTGTTTACTATTGTTATTATTAATAAATTTGCAAAATTTAGTCTGAGCATCAGCAAATAACACGTTGAGCCTGTGCTCAGGATTTGAGCACTCGAGCACTCATTCCAGTATTCCATCTTTACCTGGATTTGGACTCTTATCCAAAATACTGGACGCACACATCCCTAGTAAATGCTAAATGTTGGCCTGAAAAAATAGTAGTAGACAGAAGCTCTTATTTTGATGAAAGGATAATTTTGTGCCTGAAATTTTAGTATTCAGGAAATGTACACCTCCTCGGATGAAGACTTTTAAATCTCAGTGCTGGGATGGAGGGGGGGGGGGGGGGGGGATCTCATGACCATTAGTGTACTTCTAATCTTCAGCATTTGTGTTTTTTTATGAATTTAAGTTGCCATGTAAAATAATAGATGTCGGAAATTTTTTTTCTTTCTAGTGTTGAGTTTGAAAGATTTGTATCAGATCCGGCCAGAGAATGAGCTGGACTACTTCTTGAGAGTGCATGTGTGAGTATTGTGGTCAGTGTGTTGGTCATCGACTTAAAGCATATCTTGACTTTTGCATTTCCCTTCGTTCATTTTTTCCCCATTTATTTCTCCTCTTTCTCTTTCATGGTGAACATTCTACTGTTAAATTAATTCTATTTGACTATAGAATTATATTCAGACTTTGCCTTTTGAAATATATTATGAAACAGTTGTTTTCTTTTGCTTTTATACTGTTATATTTTATTCTCTTTGGAATGTTTGGTTATAAGTGCTTTGGTAGCCTTCCTGAAATGGTAGAAATATACTTTATACCATACATGGAGTTGTTTTAGCATTTCACTTTCGGATGAAATGTATCCTTATATTTCACACATGAAACATAAGCTGATTTCTGAGGTGTGAAATATAAGCTATAAACAAAATGTGTATAAATTACTTAGGGCACTGTATTCGCCTTTTTAACTTTCTGTAAGCAAAGTATAGACTTGTATCATAATTTTCATAGACCATGCAATGTTATGGCAGCCGCTCTCTGCCCTCTGTAAAAACTTTGCAGCAAAGCGCGCTCACCATAGGCGCCCAAATGAAGTGCCAAACATCAGTCCCCCACTGTCCCTATTGTTTAGAGTTCGTGCAACTTTCTTCGCTGCACTTTATTTTATTCCAAATTGAGTGAAATGGTGCGCGCCATAGTGCACCTGGATTACTTTAGAGTGCGGTGATGTATTTTAGAGCAATCAAAGAGTCTACATAACAAGAGGGGCCACTTCTCTCTTTGAGCCAATTAAAAAAGTGTCCTCAAAATTCAGTGGCACCCTCTTCGCAAAAGCGCACCCTTTGTGAACAGAGTTACCCTACTTGAGTTTAAAAAATCAAAGTGAAACTAGCAAGTTTTTGAATAAATTTAGGAAGAATGCTTTTTTAAAATGGTTATGCTGACAAAAAACCTCTTCCGGGGGAAAGGGCGATTGTTTTCTTTGATTTATTTGACTTTAGAATGAAGGGCGAGAGGTCATTAAAATAAAAAAAAACTAAAACTCCACACTGAACGAACCCAAACTGCTGATGAACAGCAGTCGATCAAGGAGGGGCTATTTCTATTCTTCTTCTGGAAAAACGAAAGAGAGCTTCAAAACAGACTGTAGCGCCATCTGAAGCAAAGAGCAAACTTCCTGCGGACACTTTTTTGGCTGAGTGGCCCATCTTGTTATGTACTATCTTTGGAGCAATGCACAAGTCTTTGTTACCAAGCGACTCCCAGCCTTTGGTTTGTCTTGCGAAGTTTGAATTCAAAGTAAAAAATCATCTGTATTTCTAACAACAACATGTCATATGCATTAAAACTCGTGTTACAACTTGGCAAGTTCACTTGAAGGATAAATCATGATCTACCACCATTACTTATGTAATAAATTCTTTAAACTCTTTATTGAGATATACCCCAGACTTGAATATAGTCTCTTTTTTTTTTTTTGGTGTGCTATGGAACAAGACTTTGTTTTTCAGTGCTGAATTGGAAAACATAATTTCATGGAAGATAATAGTAAAATATTATTGTTTGCCGTTCATTCACAGTTTTTGAAAAAAAATTTCCTTGTACCAGTGTCCTGAAGTATGCATTTCATATACAGTAAACATGCTGTTTGCTCAGTTTGTCAAGAGATTTATGGCCTGCGTATCCACCCATTTTTGTTTTTTGGTTATATTATTTTAACTGTTAAACTTCTCCACCCTGTTCTGTTTGTTATGAACATTTATTTAGTGGCTCTGTTTTTTACATGTGAATAACTTAAAGTTTGTTTTAAAATACCATACATTTGTTTTCAGAGAGAAGTGAAATTGAAATCTGATCTAATCTCAAATCCCCAGTGTGGACCCTAGTGAAACACAATTCCACAGCCTGCATGAGAGCCTCATCAAGAAACAAATGCAGATGACCAGCCGTCTGGGAATTTCAGATAAACAGAATCAGGGTAAGTCCATCTCTAATGTACTTACAGAAACCCTTCACAAAAGTTATTTTGTCAGCGTAACCATTTAAAAATAGTCATTTCAAAATTTGAGTTCTAATTTATTAAAAAAACAAGTCATTGTTTCAATTTGGTTTTTTCACACAAATAGGCGAATTTAAAAAGAATCCTTTAAGGAAGGAGAGGGTCAAAAGGGCTGGGGAGGGGTGGGGAGGGGGGTTAATGAAGAATGAGAGGTATGCTAAAATCTAGCTCAAAACTGCTGTTTTGCAACAAGTGGCAGGTGGCGTTTCCCGAATGATTGAAGTTTGTGTTTTTCTACAAGATGAATATTTTACCTTTTTCTCTGTTGTGTAATAAAATCTTTGCTGAAAAGAACAAACTGGTCTTTTCATTTTTCCCTGTTTTTTTTTCTTTGTGACATCTGATGTAGGTATCACGCTGTGTGTTCAGATCCTCCAGGGAGAGCTCAAGACTGTGAAGATGGAGAACCCGACCTTGTTCAGTCGCAACATCGTCCCCACCCAGCGTATGGGTTTCTCCGACTTCATCAATCCAGGTTTGACTTATGTTCCTTCTAACAGATTTGAGCAAAATAAAAATAAAAAAATCCTTGTCTATCTTGATGTTCTGAAATCTAAAAATTATTGTATGAATATGATTTCATGACTGTCTGTCAGAGAGCAAGCAAGTTCTGATTTAAATTGCGAAATGGCATGAAATACTGTTGATTGATGCAGAAAGACAATAGAATAAACATTTGTTTTGAATGCTTCGTCATGCTAGAGAAACCAGGTTGCCTGCTATGGTACAATTGGTTCAAGTATTTTGCCAGCTTGTGTAGGCTTAAGATTCAAATTTTAAAAGAATTTGAAAATTCTCTTAGTTTTCGAAAATCATTTGTGAGGCATCGTGGTGAAATCAGGCGTGCGCCATGATAATGAAATCGAAGAAACCCTGTTTGGCAATTTTTATAGACTTTTCTGTCCGTTTAACACACAGTTCTGTGTGGATTTTACTGAAAAACATTGACCAACGGCACAAAAGATGTAAATTTGCAATTCCCAAGAACTCTCAAGCTTTGGAAGTCGTCTAACTTTGGCGGCCACTTTCTCGCTAATTTTACCTCAGCTACCAGGTGACCCCCACCTCCTTCAATTGCATATATCTCAACTTCTCTTCATGACAGAGGGGTATTTTTTTAAACAAAAGCAAGTCAAGTGAACAGGCTGTAAGGTTATAGCTATAACTCCATATGCCCAAAAATTGACGAGTGCCTGATTTCACCGCAATGTGACCCATTTTCTTGTCCAGCTGAGTCTCCCAGGAGGAGTGAGTGCTCCTTTGTCTGAAGTGCCTTGAATTGTGTCAACCAGGGTGCTTGTAGATGGTGCCCATTGGAGGTTCAGTTCGGTCCAGTTCTGTTTGGTTCGGGTACGTTTCTGGTAGCTTCAGTTCACACTAAAAAAAGACCCTGGTTTCGTTCGGTTTGTGCCATGATGGTAGCTTTTCTCCTTCCATGGAGGAAAATCTGGCTATCCTGGACAACCAAACTGAACTGAACCAAACTGAACCAATCTTGCCAAGGGGCACTGGGTATTATCTGCTCAGTTTGAAACCTCAGTTCTGGAAAAAAGCTTGGCTATGCTGTATTCCGTATTTTATCTTAATATTCACATCTTTTGGTTCTTTGCAAAGCGATAATGGCTCTTTTAAGATATCAATGAATGTAAATTTCTAGGTGAAGTTCGGAATGATCTCTATCTGACCCTGAGCGGTGCGGAGGTTGACCGAGGGAAAAAGAAAGCCGCGAAGAATGTGGAGGTCAAGGTGGCCGTGTACAACCAGGACTACGAAGTGATCCCAGTAAGTGACTTCTCAATGTTCAAAGACTGTTCGCTGCCAGTCCCTCTGACCATCTACCGGTACCTGTGCTGTATCAGTTGGTTAGGGTTAAGGTTAGGGTAGGGATAGGTTTAGGGTTAGGGTCAGGGTTAGGGTTGGGGTCAGAGTTAAAGATAGGTTCGGGTTTAGGGTCAGGGCTAGGGTTAAGGTCAGGGTTGGGGTTAGGGTCAGGGTAAGGGCTGTGGCAAGGGTTAGGGATAGGTTGAGGGTTAGGGTTAGGGTCTGGGCTAGGGGTAGAGAGAGGTTTTAGGGTTAGGGTTAGGGTTAAGGTTAGGGAATGGGTTGTTGATTGTACTGGACTAGTAAACTGTCTAGTGGACAATTGGCGGGTTAGTATAAAGGTTGACTGTTAATATAATGGTTGACTGTCGAGTAGAATGTAAACATCGCAGTTGATCACCCAGTGGACTGGCAGTGACTGTTCCCTCAAATATTTTTGTGTTGACATTTCACTACCTCAGAATTACAAAGTTCTATCTGCTCAGTACCTAGTTTTGAGAAATTTGACGTAAAAAATATTTCAAAGTTTTTTTCGAATACAATTCTTTTAATATCTTGACAACAACTCAGAATAATCTTACGATTGTGATAGAGCAGATAGAGCTTTTGATTTCTGACCTCATGGTCTTGGTAACTCAAAAGAGACATCTTATATCTTTTCTTATTTTTAACAACATGTAAAATTTGACTTTGGACAAAATATAGGCATGTGATTTGTACACAGTTTATATCATGACCTATTTTTTCTTGTAGAAAACCTTAAACCTTTTTTTTTCGCCTTTTAAAATTTTGGAATGCTTCCAATTATTTGTCTTGACCGATTTTCCTTGATCTTTCACCATTTCATCAGGGATGTATACTTGGAGCCAATGGGGATCCTCTTGCCTCTGAGTTCTTCTCCTATGTATCATATCACAGCAATAGCCCACATTGGAATGAAACCATTAAGGTAGGCCCAGTGATTCCTATAGTCCATCAGTATCAATAGATTTGTTTTATTTGCTTTTAGCAGGATTTTTAAAATGTTCTGATTGGGAATGGTGAAAAATGAATATATAGTGGGCATTGCTATAAAACCAACCATTTGACAGTATTTAAAACCTTTGCTTTTAGTATTGTTCTATAACACCATTTTGCAAGCAAATTTTAATATCTGTATAATTAATTTGTGTACTAAATCCCATGAGCCGTGACCTTCTGAGGCTACAGTGCCCCTCTGTTTGAGCTCCTGAGCGATTCTTGCCTTCATTTACATCATCGCCAGAATCACTTTCTATATCCCACTCAGGGTAGTCGTCGTCATTACTAGCATCTGATTAAAAAAGATCATCAAAATAATCAGTTATATCCTGTGTACCGTCAAACATGTGTAACATGGCCACCCATTGTCAAGGAGAAAAGTGACCGTTTAACACAGGTGGCCGTCTTAGGCAGGACTGATCAAAATTAATAAAGCAAGCCATTCTCTTCTGAGGTCCAAACCGGGGCAGATCTCAGGCTTATAACTGCTGTAAGGCTATAAATTCAAAAGGGTTTTTGTTTTCTTTTAAAAAAGAGGGATGGGTGTTGTAAGAAGGTTTTTTTGTGTTGTTTTTGTTGTTGATGTTTTTTTTTTTGGCTAGCTTTCTTTTTTTTTGCTGATTTTGTGCAAGGGTGAAATAAACAAAATTTTATGTAAGTAAGACGATGAAGACCGAGTGCCACGGTAAAACAAACACACGGGTTGCCACCACTCGGAGAACGAGTGGCGCTTCTGTCACAAGTTCATGTCAACGTCCATTGTTACAGATTAGGTAAACAAAATAGTGACCAGTCACCTCACACACAATCTGTGCATGAGAGTTGTGGGCGGGGCTTACCGGTTATGACGGGTCACATGCTTCCCTCACCTGCAGGTGGGAATTTTATTGTTAGGGCCTACTCATTGCTCAACTTGGGTAAACATTCATTGGAGGGACTAACAGTAACGAAAGGTGAATGAATTATGACGGCCCGTCCACAGTGTGAGGGGCCGATTAAAAATTTACGACAAAGCGTCGGGCAATGAGTGACCACGCCTGGCCGTCTGAGGCAGGTAAATTTGACCGTGGGTTCATAAAATAAGGTGGCCACGGCAACGTTGGACTGGTGACCGTTTTACACTGTTAAATCATATAGAAAAAACGCAAGGGGGGAAATGGAAAGTGGTCGTTTGTACAATTGGCCATATTATACAGGTAGCCGTCATGGCAGGCTCAACTGTAATTTGAAGATGGAGCCCTTGTCTCTCTGTCAGGGCTCCCCACTTTGAGGCAACCAATTCTTTTAAGGAGGTTATATGTCACTAAAACCTTGGCTTTGTAAGGTTGACTTTAAAAATTACAGATTTGTTTGATTTGCGTCTAACATGACTTTTTTAATGTCATGATTGGAAACTGAAAAGTCAATAAATTGTGGGCATTGCTATAAAACAAATCATTTGGCTTTGTCAGTGTTTAATACCGTTGCATGTGAGATTTACCAAATTATTTGTGTTATCCTGTAGACCTATTTGGTCCCAGTGAGAGGAACAGTTTTAGCATGGGGTGCATATTTTTTTAAAAACTATTTTTTTTCCCAGTTGTCCATACCCATTGAAAGATTCAACACTGCTCATATACGACTGGACCTCTGGCATTGCTCAAGTAAGTTTATTGCGATTAAGGTCATTTTGAAAAATATGTTTTATGTAGGCCCTAACTATTTTAAGTGATAAAAGGTACCTGTTGTTTTTATTTTGTTTAGCAGTCGACCAGTCTTGTTTTCATTCATACTGGTTTTTCTTTTTCACTGTTTTTCTTTTTATTATTTCCTTTGGCTTTTTATATTTTAATTTTTTCTTCAGGTCTATAATTTAGAATGTTTAGAACTCTTCAAAAGTGGTTCAGTGGTTCATTGCAGTACTTTCCTGAGTGCATTTCATAATAGTACTTGGAAATAATAATGATAATTATTTGTATTAATTAACACTATTCCTTGCTCAACAGCAAGCACGGTGCACTTTACAACTTTTATTACCCCAGCAGACCGAAGAACGCTCAAAAACATTCCAATGTCCTCAGGTAACACAGAGAAAGTGCTAGTTGGGTTTGCATTCCTGGAACTGACGGTGAAGGGTAACATCACTCGCCAGAACAAGAAATATGATCTTTGTTTGTACAAGGTTTGGATTGCTTTAAATTGTTTTGTATTTTGATTGATGAATTCCAGGAATCTCAATGCTGAATTAATGCTTTTTCAGTGATAGTTCAATCAGTAAGTCGATAGCCCTGACTAGTGAATCATGAAAAATTTTATTGTCAGCAAGGTGTTTTTTTAAGGCTTTATATGCGCACCTACAGACCAAGAAAAAACTTTACCCGCGGGAAAGCCTATAACTCTCCACCAAAGTGCACAATTCACACAAACATTGACAGGAAGCAAGCTGAACCAATCGGAAGGAGAAATACATAGCAAAATTAACAGCACCTTGGAAGCAGCCATGGCTACTCCGAAGATACCATTCACTGTTGAACAATATACAATGTTAAATGTTGAGTAGGGGGGGTGGGGGGATTGAAATATTTTTTGATTGGTCACTGGAAATGTATCTTTGAGAGAAGGTTTCTGACTGGTGTTTGAGTTTGAGTGACTGCGTGTAATGTTTAGTTAGATCTAGGCCTGATGGGCGAAATGCGTAAATGCCGTAAAACACTAGACAGGCCTCTATAGGATTTAAAAAGATTAGCCAAGTAAGCCTAATAAGCTGCACTCGAAGAACTTATAACGTACGTGTTCAACGAATCGCAAGACGAATGTTTCTCGAGGATGATTCTGCATGAATTTACGGTCGGGGGCGGTCGCTTGAAAAGTCACGTGGCTGGTCCGTCGTCTCTATGACTATGACCAACAGTTTCCTCATACGCTATCTGTTCCCGACGTTTATACATCTAGTGCATATTCCTTACTTTGAGTTTGTCCCCCCCCCCCCCCCCCCATTCAACGCCTTTGTATTCTTAACCCCTGTCGGGGAATCCTTCACAAAACAGTCACGTGTCGTCACATTATCTGCCAAAATGACCCCCTCCTCCAAGGGAGATCACTAGAGTAAAAAGGAATAGAGATGACTGCGTCCCTTCCTCCCCTTGCAAAGGTTCATGTAAACGCACGCTCCGTATAAACGCACGCTCAGAAGCCCTCCCGAGCACCGTGCGTTTAGGCGGAGACTACTGTACAGTATGTGAGACATTGTGAATCAGGCGCTCGTCAAAATAAGGAAATGGAAGAAACTGGCATTATTCCGCCAGATAGGCAATTTTTATAGAATATTTGTTTTTTAGCTCAACACCTTTTATGTCTATATAAAAACACATTTCTATGTGAATTTACCAAACAGTTTCTTTGGATTTTTCCCAAAATATGATTGCAAAGTGTTAAAGGTTTAAAAAAATGTAAATTTTAAATTTCGAAGGACGCTCAAGCCATGAAGTTGCCAAACTTTGGCGGCCATTTTCTGGCTAATGATAGCTCTGAAACCAGGCAATCCCCCCTCCCCCCCCCCCTTTCAATAATAGATATCCTGACTTCTGTTCAAGACAAATGGGTATTTTTTTCTTCATAGAAAGCAAGACAAATGAACAAGCTTTAAGATAATACCAATAATTTCACATGCCCCAAAATTGACGAGTGCCTGATTCGACCACGTCGTGACACGTGTAGTTTCAGTCTATTTACTTATTTTCTTCTTCATGGTTTTGAATTAGGTACTCTATTTTTGTTTGATTTTCACAAAGCTGAAAAAAAACAAAACAAACAAACTCAGGCACTTGTTGATTGACGCTAATGATGTTATTTTTCCCCCCCCTCTCCAGTACGATGAAAAGAAGGCTCCGAAGAATTATTTACGATTGCCTTGTCTCCATGAAAGCTCTGGTGTCCTGTCAACCCTCATGCCTTCAAAGCCTGTCAATTTGCCAGTCTCTCTCTCCACAAAGGAGTGGGTCACTGTTGAGACTTTCCTTTGCTCTTCCAAATTTGCTCAGAAGTGTAAGTTGATTTGTGTTTTGTATTTGTGGGTATGTATGTGCATTCAAGTGTGCGTGCATGCGTACGTGTGTGCGTGTGTGTTTGTCTATGTCTGTATGCATATATGTGCAAGATCAAATTTTGTTTTGTTTTGAAGACCAAATTTATACAAAATTTATCAAGTGGAATAAACTCAGGGAAGGTGGTCATTATTTGAATTCCATGCTCCAGGTGTTGACCATTTCTCTCTATCCAAGCTCTAACATGCCACTGGAAATTTTGAATAACCCTGAGGTATGTGTCTGGCTAGATTCTTCAGACCCCCTGTTCAACTTAAACTTTCAACTGTTCAGTTGTTTTGCGGGATTTCTCTGTAGATTCTGTCTGCCAACCCCCCCCCCCCATCCAAGACATAGTTGAAGGGGCTTGAGTGGGGGAATGTGGGGTGACCATTCATGTGTAAGCTTTTGGCTTACAAGGTGTTCCCCAAACCTTTCTTGCAACCATACAAGGCTGTCCCCGTGGTTTTATGCAGCCTGCATAATTTAGCCAAATTTGATCAATATTTGCATAATTTCTGATTATTTTCCTTCTTCATTCTTTGTTAAAATTAACCGAATCGCATAATTTCACAATTTTGGGTTCAGTTTGCATAATTTCAGAATTTTTTTTGGGTATAAAATGATGGGGACAGACAAGAGCCACTCTTGACGTGTAGGCTGTGGCCTCATCCCTCTAGAGCCATGCCTCCTCAATAGAATGACATGAACACCCTCTCCTCCCCAAACTTCTCCTAAAATTTTTAGCACTTGGAAATACCCATCTTATGTGACTGTCTTGGTTTTACCATTCTTTACCTAAAACCAGAACGGGCAAATCGTGCCTATGTAGCTGAACTTTTGGGGGGTGGGGGGGGGGGCTACACCCCGAAATTCCCGATTTGGCTCAAAATATGGATTTTAAGTTGGAGGCATTTTTAGCTTCTTCAGCCTCTGTTACAACTATTTCATCGCATAAGAACCCCCTAAAGCCTTATTTCTTCCCATACCGGGCATGTTTGTCACCACCATTTCCTCATAAAGCAATCTTGTATTTTTCGTTAGTCCGTTTTCTCGAAAAGTGTTTTTTTAAATATACTTTAAAAAATAACTCCACCATTTTTCATCCAATCTTCTTGAAATTTTCACAGAATGAAGAAAAAATGTAATACTAAAGATTTGTGTGATGAATTTGTGATATATGGAATAGTTTATTGTTGGTGGTATTTTGAGCGTAGATATAGATTGTTTGCAAACGTGAACCTCAGGAAAAAATTCATTAAAAATTTTCTAGTAGGTTTAGGAAAAATTATAAAAATAGATTTGTAGATCTATTGTTTGCCAAGATGCATGCGAAAAAACTATTTATTTCCATAAAAAATAAGTGCGGTATTAATTATCTTAGACATGTAGACAAAATCCTATATGGCCGCCGTATCGCATGGAAACAAAATTTTTTCCTCAAATCTGATTGCGGTTTTTAAAACTCTTTACTATGCTTGTTATATGTGTGAAATTTGGTAACATTTGATCCACTAGTAAGCGAGATAGCCTTCAGTTGCCCCCCC